CGGTGCTGCCCTGCATCCTCATATGCACAGGCATGCACGGGCACACACATATTTGGGCACACATGCATGGTTGTGCACACAGGCAAACACACATGGGTGTACACACACAGGGGCACACACATACATGGGCACATTCACAATCACATACATACTTGCATACTTACACTCCAAAGGTTTCATCCTCACCCCCACCCACCCCTCTCCCTGTCCCTCTTCTGGGACAAGCCCTTGCTTCCTAAGGCCCTCTGCCCAGGGTTCAAGGAGGATCACCAGCTACTTGATACTGCACCCCCACCCCCCTGCCCCAGGAGCAGCTGAGGACCAGGCCTGGAGCAGGAAAGCTCAGCTGGGTCTTGTCCCTCTGTCCCTCCCCACAGAGGAGTAAGACCAGGCTCATACCCGAAGACCCACTGGGGGTCCTCTCCCCGGGGCCTCTTCTCACCACCCACACCCTCCTTCTGCCAGCTGTCTTTGGGAGGGAGGCCTCTTCTAGGTTCCAGAAAGCACGACACATCGTCCCCAGGTTGAGAAGAGGTTCTGCCTGGACTCAGGCTGCCTCCCCACTGCCCCCCCCCCCCCCCCGTCCCAGCCCTGCCGTGTCTCCGCTGAGCCATCGGGGGCGAGGCCCACCCCTCTCTGACTCTCTCTGTCAAAGAGGCTGCTGGTTTTCTCCAGGCTTGTCACCCGGTGGTCCCCAAGCCTGTGGAGTGTCGGTCCAGGGGACGCTTGTTAAAGCCAGCGCCCCAGTCCCACCCCAGACGTGCTGTGTCTTACTCTCAGTGCGCGGGGCTGTGAAAGTGCATTTTCGTCCACTCCCTGGGGGTCTGACCCCCACCACTGGCAGGTCCGGCGCCCCTGATGTGCACTCTTTGACAAGGGGGGGCATATAGGGGTGAGTGTGGGCTGTAGTCACTGTCCCACCCACTCCAATAATTCAGAAGTTAATTCTGGTGGGGGATGGGAGGTCAGGTAGAGCTTCAAGGCGGGGGGTGTGTCTTAAGTGACTAGTCCCAAGGATTGGGAAGGCCTTCCAGGCAAAGGGACATGAGGCAAGTGGGGTGTGGCCCACCGTGAGAGTGGGGGACCAGGCCCTGGGGCATCTTCCTGCCCAGGAAGGGTTAACCCCAGAGCCACCCAGGTCCTGTCCACTCAACTTCCACCTCCGTCCTCTGCGGAAATGGGTTTTCCAGGAGCCTGGACCGGGCTAGCGGTGACACGTGGCTGGACACGGTTGACAGAGGAAGTGACTCAGGCCCCCGGGGGAGAAAGTGAGGTGCGGGTCTCCTGCCCGTTGCCCCCTCTGCCACCGGCAGGATGGCAGGGCTGGGCCTGAGCTGGAGCCAGAGCCCCTTCCCCTGGGCCCGGTCGAGTCTGGATCTTTGGGGACCCTGTGAGTGGCCCCCATTGTGTGGAGCTGGGTCGGACTGTTCTGTTCTCGCCGTGTGTTTACGGAAAGCCTGACGTCAAGGGCAGCTGCCCTGGAAGGGCAGTGGGGGGGCCTCTGGGAGCTCGGCCCCCAAACCCTCTCTCCCAGGCTGGAACTGTCTGCACAGCCTGTGCTGTCCCCCCTGATTTTCTCTCCTTTTGGGGGGGATCTCCCAAGCCAGGGGAGCGTGCCCCTCAGGGAGCTTTGCCAGCACCAGGTCTGCAAGGCACTCTCCAGAGTGAGACCCAGTCTGCGCCTTGACCCCACAGCAGCAGCGGTCACGGAACAATAGCCCTTCCCTCGCCTCGGGGTCCACCGGCCGTAGTGGCGAGAATCCCCCTCGCAGCCCCTCCCGGCTCTGGCCGGTGCTGTGCGAGGGTCCACGGGCACTGGCCTGGGGCCCGTGGTTGGCTCTAAGGGTGTCTGGTGGCTGGGGTCCGTCCTGCTCTGTGGGCCCACGGTTCCAGAGACCAGGGACAAGGTTCTGGCCACACGGTCTGTGTGGAGGTTCATGCATGGGGTTCAGTCTTCAGAGCACGGAGCTGCTCATTCCTGGCTGAGCCAGGTGGGGGCACCTGGGGTGGAGAGCAGGGCATTCTTCGGCCCTGCTGGGGGTGCTGCCGGCGGTGGGGGGGTCACCTCCATCACGGAGACTGACTGTGCCCTTGGGGGAGGGGTGCCGTGTGGGGTGGCCGGGAGGTGGCGGTGGGCAGGGCTGCAGTGTGGGGTGGGGCTGGGCAAAGTTCGAGTGCCCAAGCGGGACAGTGCCCTCCCCCCGCCCCGTCTGGGTTGGAATCTCCTCCCGGTCCCCAGTCTGCTCCCTGGTCCCTCGGAGGGTTCCACGGACAGTCCCAGGTCCAGACGGATGGCAAGGAGGGAACTTTTCTGGGTGGGGTGTCCGTCTTCCCATTGCGCTCCCGGAAAGGAAGTTTCATGCTCTAAGAATTTCCCGGCAAGGTGCTAGGGAGGTTGAGCTGGCGTGGGGGCCACAAGGGCAGGGCACGGAGGTGGGGGGGGGGTGGGGGAAGCAGGGAGGGCCTGCGATGGGTCTGGGGGTTGAATTAGGGGCAGGCGTGGGCTGGTCAGAAGGTGTACAGAGATATTCAGCTGTCAGAGGGGGCGCCTACTGCATACACAGCCCTGTTCTCAGCCCTGCATGGGTATCAGTTCATTTAATTCTCCAAATGACCCTTGATGTGGGCTTGACTGTTAGTCCTATTTACAGATGAGGAAAGTGAGACCCAGAGAAGGTGAGGAACTGGCCCGAGGACACACAGCAGTGACTGGGGGACCTGGGATTTGAACCCATGTACTCCGACTCCAGAGTCTACTCTAATAAAGGTGGACTAAAGGAAGCCAGGCAGTCCCTCCCTGTCAAAGCCCAAGAATGTCCATGTGGACAGAGTCAACCACCTTGGAGTGGCTGCTCAAACAGCCAGGGTAGGGTGGGGATGAGCCAGGAAGTGTCAGGGCCGTGCAGTTAGTCCCTCCCTCGTCTGTGTCTGAGTTTCTTTCACAGCGCCCCGTGGTGGTGTAGCCTCTCTTGTGCTCCTCCAGTGACGGGGAGCTCACTCTCTGTCTCTGTCTTTTGCTCTCAAAGGCCAACCTGGGAGGGCAGGTGCGAAGGATAATTCTACCCTTTCCTGAGATCTCATCTACTGACAATGGCAACTCACTTGGGAGGTCACTGAGCCCCAGAGATACGTATCTCCCAGCCAGCTCCATCCTCACTTCCTGTGTGATGCCAGGGAGTTATTGGCCCTCTCTAGCCTCAGATGTAAAAGCCAGATTTTCAGAGTGGTCCGTGAACTACAAGTTCATAAGCGTAGAGCAGTGGTCACCGCAAGGGGGAGCGAGATGCCTGGAAGAGGTGACATTTGGACTGGAAGTCAGAGGCAGACAGCACCAAATAGGCAGAAAGGAGAAGGAAGGATGGGGTGTAGGGGGACATATTTTTGTCCTGGATGCTGGGCTTCCTTCTTCTTGTCTGGGTGGCAGAGGCAGTTTTAAAAGGAGCCAAAAATGCTCAGAGGCCACGGCGTAAAACTTAAAAAATTGCCACCTCAGAAGCAGTGGCCGTTCCCTAAAACACTTTCACATCCTCCTTCTAAGGTGTCCTGTGAGCAGATGCCACCAGAGCAGGCCAGGGAGACCCACTGATCAGTGATTGGACTTACAAGGCCTAAGAAATTAGAGTTCCATTGCATGTGGTAGGACACCAGAGACTGGCTCCAGGGCAGCTCAGTGAAGGTCCATCTGGGGCGAGAAACAATGACCTCCTGCTTGGGCCACCCCTACCTTTAACACTATCCTCAAATAGCCTGCCCCAAAGCCACCTCTTCCTGGAAGCCCTCCTTGGTTTCTCCCAAACTCAGGCTCCTTGTGTGCCTCTAGGCTGCCAAGCTTCCCTTCGTCTGGCTTGTGGCAGATGACTGTATCTGTCACCACAACCATATGCAGCTCCCCACAGAATGAGCGTAACTGTCTGTGTCTGTCTCCACCCAGCTTGGTCACAGGGCCAGGTGGCAGTGGGGAGGACCAGGCCACCCTGGCATCTTTCTATGAGTGCCAGGCACACAGGTTCCCTGCCAGGCACTGCAGCTCTGACCAGGCAGGAAAAGTTCTTGGCCTCCGGAGTGATCTTGGGCAAGTCATTGACCTTGGGGACCTCAGCACAGTGCACCTCACAGGGTTGGAGTGAGGGTGACTATTGGCCCGAGGGTGGCCCAAGCACTGGCTGGGAGGCAGTCGGTGCTCTACTAATAGAGGCCATAGTAGGTCAGAAGTTCCCCATCTACACCCGGGTGGAGGTGGAGGTGAGGGTAGCTGGGCCCCCTGCTCCTTAGGCGGTAAGGTGAGTGTCTCCTGGCCGGATCTGGACATCCCACTGCAGTTCCAGCTGCCCTAAGCCCCGGGAAACTGGCTCCCCTTGGTGGTCATAATGGGAAGCGCCCTTTGTCTCCAGCCCCTATAGAGAGCGCTATGGGCAAGCTGATTGTTAACTCTTCTTCCTCCACACGTTCACCCACCCAGCCTTGGTCCAGCAACCTCCCTGGCACCAGGCCCTGCCCATAGAGATGGATGAGGAGGGCGCTCCCTGGCTGGCTGAGGAGGGAACGCACCACCGTGCACCTCCCTGGGAGGCTAACCGAGGGGGCCCTGGCCAGTGGTGGGAACTAAAGGAGGCCAGGACTCCCAGCAGAGGGACATGTGGAAGGCTTCCTGGAGGAGGTGTCCTCTGAGCTACGTCTCAGGGATGGTGATGGTGAGTTTCCCAGGGAGAACCCTGAGAGCCCCCTTTCCCCTGTCTCCTCCAGGCCTGGAGCAGGCACAGTGGCTCCAGGGGGCGCTGTGGAGCCTTCCCCACCCCATTCTACCTAAGATTAACCTGTCACTGCCCGTCCCGAGGGAGGTACAATGATCGGCCCCATTTTCCGTGACTTATACAGGGACATGTGGCAAGCCAGAGGTGGAGCCAGGAATTGAATGTGGCTAGGAGCTACAGTCTCCGAAACCACACAGAGCGGACCCCAATATCCACGGACTGTTCTCACACTTGCCTCCCCCTCTGCAGGGCTGACCCCGCTGACCCGCACTCCTGGTGTCTTTCAGGCAGTGACTTCACAGAGTGACCGCTAAGGAGGAAGATGGCTGCCCGGGAGCCGGTGCAGATGGCACTGCTCCTGCTGGGTGTGCTCCTCAGGGTTCAAGGTAGGCTTCCCTGGCGCTATTGGGACTCACGTTCTCGTGCCCCGTCTCTGGGACAGCTGCGGGACACCCACTCGCCCCTTTGGGCAGGCACAGGCCTGCAGACGCAGTGTGGCAGGTGGATGCGGGACCCTGGAGAAAAGAGAAAGGCACCTTCTTTTTCTCTGGCGGATGTAGTCCTCCGGCGCTCGGGCTGGGATGGGGCACACGGGCTGGGTTTCGGCCCTGCTCACCTCTGAAGCCACGGTAACCTCCCTGCGCAGTGCGCAGCCTGCGGAACGGTCTACGGTGGGCGTGGCCTCATTAAACACCCTGCTGCTATCGGGGAATGTTTTGCCTTTGACGTTATTATTAATTTTGAGTTTGTTCTTTTTCATAATTTGAACCCAGTAATTTTTGACCGGGGCAGACTCAGGTTTTTGTAGACCCTCTGAGGTACAGGCCTTTGAAATGTGCGCGGGTCCCAGGCCCTGGGCCCCTGTGTTCTGGGCCCAGGGCCTGCCCCCTCCTGTGGCTTCTCCCCCAGAGTGCCACCTGCGGGTCTCTGCCTCCGCAGGTGCCCACAGTGCGGGCTTCCGGGAAGACTTCCGTTTCTGCGGCCAGCGGAACCAGACGCAGAGGAGCAGCCTCCACTATTATCGGTCGACAGAGCTGCGCATCTCCATCGAGAACTCCGAGGCGGCCCTCACAGTCCACGCCCCCTTCCCTGCAGCCTCCCCGGCTTCCAGAGCCTTCCCGGGCCCCCGGGGCCTCTACCATTTCTGCCTCTACTGGAACCGCCACACTGGGAAATTGCACCTTCGCTACGGCAAGAATGACTTCTTGCTGAGTGACCGAGCCTCTGACCTCCTGTGCTTCGGGAACCAGCAAGAGAGCCTGGCCCCGGGCCCCGCGATGCTCGCTACCTCGGTCAGGTCCTGGTGGAGCCCCCAGAACACCAGCCTGCCCAGCGCTGCCGGCTTCACCTTCTCCTTCCACAGTAAGCCAGGCAGGAGGAAGAGCTTGGGCAAAGGCCCTGAGGCAGGGAAGGCAGAAGAACGCAAGTCGGGGTCTGAAGGTCCGCTCGCTCTCGGAGCTTGGGCTCTGGTCACAGGCAGTGGGGAGCCACTGAAGGTGTCTGAGGGAGGGGAGCGTGTGACCCAAGGCGAGCTTCAGCAGGCGTGTTGGGAGGGTGGGGGGAGGGTGGAAGGGGCAAAGTCCTTTCCAGAGGTTGCAGGAAAGTCCAGGGGCAGGGAGATAGGGTCTGAGCAGGGTGGGAATGGAGAAAATGGAAAGAAGGGACTGGCTGCCAGGAGCCCGAGGAAAAATTCTGCTTCATCAGCATCATCAGCGTAGCTGGTTGGTCCCCATTTCACAGAAGGGCAAACTGAGGCATAGAGAGGCACAGAGGGGCACAAAGTTGCACAGCTAGTAAGCGAGGGAGCCAAGATGGGAACCCAGCAGCTGATTGGCAGGGGGTGGGGTGGGGAAGAGCCAGAGAGGTCCAAGTTCAGGAACGCAGTGAGGCTGGCTCTGAGGGACCGCGTGTGCTCCCCGGGATGTGACAGGTGTGATGTGGCCCCTGCCTCCCGTTAAGTGCTGGATCAGGGGCAGGGAGGGAAGGGCGGCGAGCAGAAGCTGGAGGTGGTATTGGAGAGAGGCGTGGCCTAGGGTTTCCCTGGTTCTGTTGCTTCCAGGCAGCTCCAGTTTGGGGCGGGAGATCCCCTGGCGGGTAGGGGGTGGGGGCCCAGCACTTCGAATATGTCGGCAGCTCCAGGCCCACGAAAGTGCTGGGGGTGGCAGGAGCAGGCCGGCTCCTGGCCCAGGTGCTGTCCGGGGCAGCAGATAGGGCTGGGCAGTCGGTGGGGTACCTCGCCCCCAGCCTGGGATTCCGCCCCAGCCTGGGAGGGTCTGAGGACGAATTCAGGCCCGGCTGCCAATCAACATCCTGAAGAACAGATCTGGCCTCGTCTTACTGGGCCTGTAGCGAGGGTTTTAAACAAAAACATGAGCCAAAGGTTTCAAAGCACCTAAAACTCAGGCTTTTGCCTTATAAATTCAGATGTGGCCACCCAGGGCCTGCCTTTCCTCAGGGTCCCCACCCCACAACATGCACCCGTCCCTGTCTGCCTGCCTCACAGAGTCCCATCGGACTGCTGCAGACACCCACGCAGACACCCACGTTTGCAGCCCTGTGGTGCGGGAACCCAGGCGGAGGGCCTGGAACCTGGGGTCAGGGAGGCTGGGGAGAGGGAGTCCCCGGGGCCAGCACATGAGCCGCCCCCAGGCCCTCTTGAAGGAAGTCTGGCTGGGCCAGGGCCCTGGAAGGCACCCCGCAACCCCCACTTCAGAAGGGCACCTGGGAGGGCGTGTCCCGTGTCACCCTGCTGGGGTTGCAGTTGCCGGAGGTTCCATGTGACAGAGTCCCTGGCTGGCTGGCTGCATCGCTGAGTGACTTTGGGGAGTGCACCCCACCTGGAGGAGCCTCAGTTTCCCCTTCTGTAAAATGGGAACCAGTATCGCAGAGTCGGGGAAGGACTGAGAGGCTCGTGAGTGTGGCTCGGACCTCAACCAAGGGTCTCGGGTGGGTCTGCCTGTGCCCCCAGGTCCTCCCCAGACGGCCTCCCACAACGCCTCCTCGGTGGACATGTGCGAGCTGAAACAGGACCTCCAGCAGCTCAGCCAGCTTCTGAAGTCTCCCGGGAAGGGGTCCAGGAGGCCCTCGGCCACCCAGGCTGGCCAGTGAGTGTGGCTGTCAGTGCGGGGGCGGGGGTGTCGGGGAGAGGCATCCCCCAGGCCTGGGTACAGGCCGGGGACCTGGAGCGGGGAGGGGCCGAGGTGGAGGCTGTCCCTGGGGCTGGCACCATCTTCTGGCCTTTCCGTCTCGTCCCGGTGGGGTCAGGGTACAGCCTGCCGGCCAAGCCCCACAGCCGCCCGGGTCAGTACAGACCACCGTCTCTCCTGTGGGCCCCCGACAGCACTCCCCAGCCCTCTCCCCAGCAGTAAAGGAGAAAGGATGGGCCCATTTTACAGCTCAGCAGACTGGGGCCCAGAGATGGTTAGGGCAGGCCCACGGCCACAGAGCGAGTCGGTCCAGGCAGAACTGGGCCCAGCAGAACACCCCACCCCTCCCTTCCTGTTCGCTGGGGTGTTCCCGCTTCCTCCCTCCCTCCTGCCGGTCGTTCTCTCTGTCCCACGCTGTTGTTCCCTCCTGCCCTCTCTCCTCTCTCCCGACCCTCTTTCCCGTCTCGTCTCTCCATCATCTTCTTTCCGGTGCATCTGCCCCAGTCCCCTCTTGCCCCTGGCTTCCCGCTCTCGGCCCAGATCCCCTTCCCAGCAGCCGCCCACTCTCTCTCCCCCCACCAGGCGGCTGCAGAGCCTGGAGTCGAAGCTGACCTCCCTGAGGTTCACGGGGGACGCCATGTCCTTCAAGGAAGATCGGGTCAACGCCACCGTGTGGAAGCTCGAGCCCACAGCCGGCCTCCAGGACCTGCGCATCCACTCCGGGCAGGAGGTCAGGGCTCAGGATCAGGCCGGCTGGGGCAGGAAGCAGATGTGGAGGCTGGGAGCACCCCCTCCCTGGCCTCCCGCGGCCAGATGTGTGCTGACCAGGAAGGAGCCAGGCCCAAAGAGTAGCCTCAGTCTGTGGCTACCCCGCGGCACTGAGGACCCTTCCTGGCACAGTGACGGGGACAGAGGTGGGGGGGACCCGTTCCCCACACTAGGGGCTCGTGTGACACACCCATGTGAACAGGTGACCAACCCCCAAATGCCTGTGCATGCACCCCCCAGTCTTGAGGCTGCCTCTTGCGTGGGCGTGGTGAGCTGGGGGCCGCCTGCGTCCCGCTGCACCAGGAGGCTGCAGGCAGAGTTGGCCCCGGAAGCCCAGACCACAGGGTGCCACGTGGTTTTCCCAGGCCTGTAAGCCCCCGGGGCCCTGGGCTCTAACCACAGAGCTCCCCAGCTAATGCTGGTGCCAATTGAAGGAGGGGGTGAGGAGGGCTTCCTGCAGGAGGTGTGCTTAGAGATGGCAGCATCCGGGAAGGTGTGGGGGGCGGGGGGCTGGGGGCGTCTCTGGCTGAGCCCTAATGGTGCCCTGGTCTGCAGGAGGAGGAGAGTGAGGTCCTGGAGTACTCGGTGCTGCTGCCCCGCGAGCTCTTCCAGAAGACCAAAGGCCGGAGGGAGGAGGCTGCAAAGAGACTCCTCCTGGTGGACTTCAGCAGTCAGGCCCTGTTCCAGGTATGGGGCCCTTGTCCTGGGGCCTCCCCCACCCCCGGGAAAGGCAGTGCCTATCTGACGGGAAGACAGAAGGAAGGCATGGAGCCCAGCCCCCTCCTCCAGGAGTCAGAGCCTTTCTGTGTAAAGTCAGAAAAGGGCTTAATGGTATTGTTCTCACTACAGTGTAAATGACTACATGTGCAATAACAGTTTCTAGAGGGAGACCCGGCATCTCAGAGACAGGAGCCGAGAGAGCCTGGGGGACTTCTGGGCGTTTCTTCTCAGCCCTGAGCCCCGTCCCTCTTCTCTCCCCCCACCCCATACTTCTAGGACAAGAATTCTAGCCAAGTCTTGGGCGAGAAGGTCTTGGGTATTGTTGTGCCGAAGACCAAAGTAGCCAACCTCTCGGAGCCCGTGGTGCTCACCTTCCAGCACCAGCCACAGCCGGTGAGTGTGAGCAAACCAACCAAGGAGATGACAGTCCCCTTATGTCCAGGCTTCCCTTGCCCGCCCCGTCTTCTGAATCCCTGGACTTGAACAAAATGACAGAGTGGCCGAGGGCACCAGCCAGTCGGGTCCAAATGGGGTGGTGGCCGGACACCGACTCCCTTGGTCCGGCCCATGAGGGGGTGGCCTGTAATGGGATCCCCTCTGCCTTCTCGTCCCTGCAGAAGAACATGACTCTACAATGCGTATTCTGGGTTGAAGATCCGGCATGTGAGTGTGGAGGGATCCCTGTGCCAGGCAGGCACTTGGAGGAGAAAGGGGTCCTGGAGGGTGGGAGACATGGGGTTAATCAGGGAGGGCTTCCTGGAGAAAGGCAGGCTTTGAAGAGGGAGCAATGGCAGACGAGGGAGCTGCCAGATGGAGCCAAGGCTCAGTAGGGTGATACAGTCATGCATTTGGGGGTACAGCGGGGCCCAGGGGGCTGGGCTTGACAGAGCCCCATGCTGTGCCCTCCTCAGTGAGTAGCCCAGGGAGCTGGAGCAGCGCCGGGTGTGAGACCATCAGGAGGGAGACGCAGACGTCCTGCCTCTGCAACCACCTGACCTACTTCGCAGTTCTGATGGTGAGGGGTCCCCCACGCCTGCGGCCACACCGCAGGCCAAGTCCTTGCTGTGTGCCCGCCGCTTCTCAGACGGCGTGCCCTCCCTTCCTCACAACAAGCCCCGCCTATGGCGGCTCCTGCTGTTGTCCCAGCTTGCAGACAATGAAACTGAGGCTCAGAGAGGTTAAGCGATTTACCCAAAGTCACACAGCTAATAAGTAAAAGGGCCGGTCTCTAAAGCCCTTACTGTGTGTTGCCAAGTTTTGGTGCGTGATAACAATGCAGATTCCTGCCCCTAACCTGGAATTCTGACTCCACAGGCTGGGGTGGGGCCAGGAGTGTGTTTCTAATGAGCCCTCGAGGGGGTATCAGGGCCTTGAGGTGGGCGTCAGTGCCCCCGAGGCCTCAGAAGCTTTATGTCCCAGGCTCATCGTTCCAGAACCTTAGGCCCAGCACCTGAGGGGCCACAGTGGCTGTCAGCTCTCTCTGGGGGTGGGCACTTCCTCCCCCAACAGAAAACTCAGTCCCGTGTTGAATGTCGTGTAAAAATAGCCAGCGCCAGGACAGAGGAGGGCTATCCGGTGAGGGTTCTCGGCCTGTGTGGGTCAGGCACCCACTCGAGGATGCGGTGAAAGCGATAGAGCCCTCCAGAGGAAGGCACTTGTGGGCCGCCTGGTTCTCAGAGGTGGTTCGCAGACCCCCAAGGCCCACCCAGGGACCACAGGTTCGCCTCGCATCTGGGGGACCCTGGGGCCAGCCCTGACCTGTCTCGTGGACCCAGGTGGCCTCCGTGGAGGTGGACTCCGTGCACAAGCACTACCTGACCCTCCTCTCCTACGTGGGCTGCGTCATCTCTGCCCTGGCCTGCGTCTTCGCCATCGCCGCCTACCTCTGCTCCAGGTAGGACCCGGGAGGGAGGGGTGGGCAGGGGGGGAGGGGCCCCACCGCCATGGAGACCTGCCTGCCCTGGAGACTGGCCCTTGGACCGGGGTGGGTGTGTGGTTGTGGGAGCCGTGGGAACTGGCCTCTGGGGGCCACATTTCCTCCTCAGATCTGCGGTGTTGGGGCAACAGCATCTGCCAATTTTATTAACTGTCCACATTGCAAATGGGGAGAATTGACATGAGCATCTAGATTTCTGCCTTTGCGTAATCAGATGCGATACCACGAGGGTCACGTTTAATATGATAATAATAATGACACTAGTTAACGCATCAAGCTTCCCACGTGCCACGCACTGTTCTAGGTGCTTTCCATGCATGCACTCGGTTCATCCTCTCCAGGGCCCTATGCAAGAGTGCTCAGAGAGGGTGAGTGACTTGCCTGAGGTCACACAGCAGGGAAGTGGCAGAGGCAGCCTTGAGCCCGGGTGAGCAGCCTCCAGGTCCCCAAGGCCTCAGTCACCGGAGCTGAATGGCAGCCCTCCCCTTTTGGCAGGAGGGGAGACCCCCTTAGTTCTGTGGGACGAGGCCAGGGCGCTCACTGCCTCAACCGGGAGGTGGGGTGGGTGGAGCCGTGGGCATGTGCGTACATAAGCGGTGGGTCATGTGTGCCCACAGCTGTGCATGTGGTGGGGCCGGAGTCGCTGGTGGGGAGGGACAGCCAGCAGGCTCAGTGGAGGGCGGAAGGCAGGGCCACAAGTCCCCAATGCCTACCCATTGTCACCAAAGCGCCCAAGGACACAGGGACAGGAACCCTTAGGGACTGAGCATCTCAGCTATGCCAGACACTCCATATCAATGTGACCCTCACCCCAACCCTATGCGAAAGGCTGCCCTCCCATTCCACGGATGAGTAAACTGAGGGCGAGGGGCAGCCCGAGGCAAGGCAAGGCCAGTGCAGGATTCCAGGACAGAGACACTGGGACCGGAGTATCCTGTCGTGCCCTCTGGGACAGGCAGTGGGTGGTGTGGGCAGAGCATGGCTGGGGGTGGGGGTGGGGTGGGCAGGAAAGGCCTGCGAGGCCCTGGACCATGCAGAGTCCTGGGGAAGGGCTGGTGCTGGGAGGGGCACACACAGACTTGCAAACCTGAAGGCAGACAGACTCCCACACCCCATGCTCACAGACTCACAGACACAACTGTGCGGACAGGTGTGCACAGCAGGGGAGGCATGGGTTCTCCGGGACAACAACAAATCCGAAGCCTCTCCCCTCTGACTTCGGGAGCCTCTGGTTGATTGTAGTGGCTGACTTGTCTGTTGTGCTCTGTCTGGCTAAAGCTGCTGTTAAATGCACATACAGTGCCCGAGCCCATGGGTGCTGGGCACATAGTAGGTGCACAGGGACAAGTAGAGTGGGGAATGGCCTGGCTGCAGCCATAGGAGTGTGTGTGTGTGTGTGTGTGTGTGTGTGTAGCCTGGGAAGGCTGCCTGGAGGAGGAGGAGCAGGTACCCCCCTACCTCCCCACACTGGTCACAGGATACCCCTTCCCCCTTGCCCCCGCACCCCCTACCCGCAGGAGGAAGACTCGGGATTACACCATCAAGGTGCACATGAACCTGCTGCTGGCCGTCTTCCTGCTGGATGTGAGCTTCCTGCTCAGCGAGCCGGTGGCGCTGACGGGCTCCGAGGCCGGCTGCCGGGCCAGTGCCATCTTCCTGCACTTCTCCCTGCTCGCCTGCCTCTCCTGGATGGGCCTGGAGGGCTACAACCTCTACCGCCTGGTGGTTGAGGTCTTCGGCACCTATGTCCCCGGCTACCTGCTCAAGCTGAGCGTTGTGGGCTGGGGTAAGTTGGTGGAGGCTCTGGGCGGGGCCCCCAGAGCTGTGCCTCTCCGCCTCCCTCTGTCACTGCTTCCTTCACCCCTCCCCCGGCCTCAGGGGGTCTTTACCGCAGCTGGGTCCAGGACCGTGAGGCCAAGAGCCCAGTCCGCAACAAACACTCGCAGGTTCTGGGTGTCACTCACCCCCTTTACCAGGGAAGTTTGCAGGCAGCGACCACGCACAGGTGCACGGGTTGTGCGCTGCTCGAAGGCACTCAGTCCCCGGATGAGGGGGCTGTCATCCAGTCTTCCCCTCACCTACGCCCCCCGCCCCCCGCCCCGGGCTGGCAGCGGCCCTGCCTGTGGATCCCCCTGAACCTCGGGCGACAGAGTCCGTGTCTCCGGCATTTGCTCTCGGCCAGTGACGACCCAGTTCACGTACGGCCCAGACCTGACTTCCGTCAGACTGGAGGCCCCGGGGGCACACACCAGGAGCCCTGCGGACATTGCGTGGGCCCACCAACCTCCACGCGTCTCCGGCCCAGCTTGCTGCTTCTCCTGTGTTTCCCATTCTCGTTTCCCTCCTGTGACTTACGTGAAACTCCTCCAGAGGTGGCTCCCTGCCCAGACCCAGGTGTTTGGTGGTGGGACAGCCCCTCAGGGAGCTCTCAGTCTCCCCCTCGTGGACAAGGTCAAGGCCCAGCGCAGACACCCCCTGGGGCAGAACTCTGGATCTCCCTTTTGAACTGTCCCCCACCCCACCAACGTCCTGTTTGCTTCTCCCATTTTCCTTGTGACATCTAGCCCCTCAGCAGGGACCTGCGGGTCCTTTCTCCCAAGGGCCCCCCGGAGGGTGAGGGGGCAGGGATGAGGTCAGGAGAGATGGGCTTCCTCTGTGGAAAACCCAGACTGGAGTGGGGAAGAGGCGGGCCCAGCCTGGAGGACCCACCCCAGACGGACTGGGCGGGGTCCAGAGCACAGGCTGAGAAAAGGTCCCGCCAGAGGGCCGGGGAGGGCGTGACCCTCGCAGGGCTGGAGGTGGAGCTCCACGCTTTGCTGTCCCCAGGCTTCCCGCTCTTCCTGGTGACGCTGGTGGCCCTGGTGGACATGAACAACTATGGCTCCATCATCCTGTCCGTGCACAAGACCCCGGAGAGTGTCATCTACCCTTCCATGTGAGTGGCTGGGCGGGCGGGGCAGGAACTTGGGCCTCGCTGGGCTTCGCCTTTGTACCATCGGTATTATTACTTGCTTAATAGTTTTCTTTAAATCGTCTAACATGGTCATTTAAATATATGTCTAAAAACTATCGTATCAACTACAACTGGGAAACAGGCATCACGGTCAGAAACAGCGAGTGATCATCAAAATAGACGCAGCGGCCAGGCCCCCCCTTTGACCACAGAGGAGGAGCGCAGGGGCATGGAGAAGAGGGGGACTTGGGGGCGGAAAGTGGGGGCCCCCGCGCCTCCCTGCACCAGCCCGCATGCCCTGAGCCGCCCTTCTCTGAGCACCCCCCGCCCCGGTCCGCAGGTGCTGGATCCGGGACTCCCTGGTCAGCCACATCACCAACCTGGGCCTCTTCAGCCTGGTGTTCCTGTTCAACACGGCCATGCTGGCCACCATGGTGGTGCAGATCCTGCGGCTGCGGCCGCACACCCAGAAGTGGCCCCACGTGCTGACCCTGCTGGGCCTCAGCCTGGTCCTCGGCCTGCCCTGGGCCTTGATCTTCTTCTCCTTCGCTTCCGGCACCTTCCAGCTGGTTGTCCTCTACTTCTTCAGCATCGTCACCTCCTTCCAAGGTAGGCATGGGGAACACCCTACCCCTGTCTGGCCAGGCTGCCCGTACCTGGAGCACAGGGCAGTGGAGTAGATGACCCGGGCCGCCAGGAGGCACCCCTTCCCTGGGCCTCAGCTTTCCCACTCATAAGCGGGGGTCTTCCAGGCCATGGTTGACGGGTCTGTATTGAGTACCACTCTGGGCAGCCCTGTGCTCAGTCAGCCCTGAGGCTACCACTGTGAACTGGCTGGGTGGCGGCCTCATGCATCTCCAGCAGGGGAGGCTGTGTGACAGGCACCAGGCAGCCATCAAAGGAGGTCTTGCAGAGCAGGGAGCAGCGGTGATGGACAGGCTGGGCTGGGCAGGGGCCCTCTGGGGAGGGTAGCCATGGTGACTTCGGTGTTGGAGACATTTGAAGACAGCAGGAGGACCCGGCCAGGGAGAGATCAAGGGCTCTGTCACTCAGGCGTGTTCCTCAGACCAGCAGCATCAGCGCAGAGGTTGTTGGAAGTGCAGACTCTGCCCCTGCCCAGACCGCAGTCAGAACCCGCATCACAGCAGACGCCCAAGGTGCTGCCGGGCACGCTGCAGGCTGCAGGCTGCAGGCTGGGGAGACCCGCTCTGGGGCTGGGGGAGGAGTGCTCCAGGCAGCGGCAGACACAGAGCAAAGGCCCCGAGGCCGGGACCGCGTGCAGCAGGGAGGCTGAGCAGGGCTACAGGGTAGTGAGCGGGGGCAGAGCAGAGTGGGGCTGAGGTGAGCGGGCAGGAGCAGAGCGTCTAACTTGAGGACAGAAGAGTCCCTTCCTGCTGTGCCTGCAGCCCTGCACCACCGCCCCCCACATCTCACACACACGTGTGCACACACATGCACACGCACACCTCTGTCCTCGGAAGGACTCGGGCAGGAAGACAGGGAAGGCGTGGCCGGGCCTAGGGCCACACAGGGGCTGTGAGGCTGGCCTTCTGCACGGGGTCCCCACGGATCCAGCGTCGGGGGTGGGAGGCCAGCCTTCCTTTCTCACCTGTGACGTGGAGGGGGCTCTGGCGGGATTGTAAATGATGCCCACCGACCCCCACACACACATTTGCTGGGCCGTCACATCGTCGAGTGAGGACCGGAGAGGAGCGAGGCTGAGTGAGGAAGCGGACGGGCTCCAGGCCCGACCACTGCCCTTGGATTCCTGGCTCGGCCGAGTCCCCGAGCGCCCTGGGCCTCAGTTTCCCCATTTGTAACACGAATGGTGTTGAGGGGGCCTGGCCTTACAGGAATGTCAGACGACAAATTAAGAGGGTGCACAGTCAATTGCACAGGGCTGGCATGTCGCAGGTGCCCCGCGGTGCCTGAAGGAGCGCAGGGGGCTGATCTGAGTCCAGGTGACTCTGGGGGGAGGAGTCTAGGGGGCGGGGGTGCTGCCGCCAGCCTGCTGAGCTCCGTGTCCCTCTCGCCCACAGGCTTCCTCATCTTCCTCTGGTACTGGTCCATGCGGCTGCAGGCCCAGGGCGGGCCCTCCCCTCTGAGGAGCAGCTCGGACGGCACCAAGCTGCCCATCACCTCGGGCAGCACCTCGTCCAGCTGCATCTAGGCCAGCGGCCGTCCACCCAGTGTGAGGGAGCAGAGACGCCGGCTCTCCTCACCGCCGCCTGCGGCCCCTGCCGCTGGGCCTGGCTGTTGGCCGCTCGGCCGGAGACTTGAGAAGGAAGGCCCCAGGGCCTCAGAGGGCTGGAGCTGTTGCTATGGCGGCCGGACTCCTAGGCTGGGCCTCATGCATTGATTGGGCTGCGGACAGCTCGGCTCTTAGGCTCAGCTCACAAGGGGCTCTGGAGTGGTGGGACCATCTTCCTGGCCATCCGAACCTGGGGCTGAAGGCCAGTCTTAACTCACCAGCACCGGGCTTAGCCCTGGTGGCTGGGGGCTGGGAGCCCGCAGGCCCCAGAGTCTGGTCACGGACCCTGGAGACCTGGCAGCATCCCTGGTCCTGCGCCCTCACCCGGGACAGAAATGTGCCACCGCTATTCTGATTCCGGCGACCACCACGAGCGTACTTTGCAGCCCCCGTCATTTTAACCAAGGGTGGCACCCAGGGCAAAAGGGGTTGGGGCCGAGCTTCAGACCCCTGGAGAAGGAGAGTCCCCCGCCCCCGATCCCCAGCACACAGCAGCAGCTGCCCTACCTCTGAGCCCAGCTCACCCCTTCCTCTCCCCTCCCCTTTCCCAGCCTGGGGTCGCCAATTCCAATGGTGTATTTTGGGTCATGGTCCCCAAGAGCCACCTGGTGCCTGCTGTAAACCTTTATCTACTGCAAGGGCCTCTGCTGGCCCCTGACTCAGGCTTAGTATGTATGCTCTGGGCTAGGCTCCTTTGTCCATCTGGGCCTCTCTATAAGCTGTACCACCCTTGCTCACCACTGCCAAGCCCGCACCTCGCAAGGGACCTCAGCCTCTCCCATAGGCCTCTGGCGGCAAGAACTGTGGAGCGTAGCAGGCTGTCTTTTCCCACCGCCACACTCCGAAGACTGAGACATATCTCCCCTGGCCTGGAGCCCGTCACAGTGAGTTCTGCTGAATGCAGAGGGCCGGGCCTGCCACTCCCACTGCGAACTTTCAGTCTAGTGTGTGAGGCATGCGCAAGACAGGACCTCCTGGAGCTGTGGCCATTGGGTCAGGGGAGCCATCCTCCTGGCTGGAAATCCAGGAAGACTTCCTGCAGGAAGCCGCATTTGATCTAGACCTCAGCCTTAAACATGGGGAGGCTTTTCTTTTTAATGACTAATTCTTTTGTCTTTGGTATTAAAAACAAGTACGTGTTCACTGTAGAGAATTTGGAAACTGTAGAAGAGTGTAAAGAAGAAAATAAAAATCAGCTGTTGTCATCACCAAACCAATGTAACTGTTTTGGAGCATTGCCTTCTGAGTTTTCTTCTCCGCGTCTGTGAAGGGTCACTAATTAGGAAACGTGAATGAGAGAAGAGGACCATGTGTGGGGAAAAAAATCTACTGCTGGAGACTTTATCAAGACAAGGGGGAAAATAAAGGGCAACTTGGTGTCGGTGCTGGGGAGGCAGTGGGGAGTGGTGGGGGCTGCGGTCGGCTGGAAACGCACACCCGCACTGCGGGGGCAGCTGCGACTCACCTGCAGCCGGTCACCGCCTGCCTTGCAAGGGTGAGGGCCGGAGTAGCCAGACCGCCTGCCTCTGATGAGAAACGGGAAATGCAGATTGTGCTGGTGTCACATCCCTTGACTTTAACACAGATCATCCCCCCAACTTCGCTGGCCCAAGAAATCCCACTCAAGGGCTGAATTCAGCTCTTGGCTGGGCAGGTGACGCGTGTAACCAGCTTCTTGCCCGGGTGAGGTAGGTGGGCTACGGGAAGGAAATGACCGAACTCTTCTCCCATCACGGCCTTCAGCCTTGTCAGGCCAAATCTCCCCTCCCCAACCGGTGACACGGGTGAGGTGGGCCGCATACACTTCTGTCCGCCTTGAGTTGCACGAGCAGACGTGTTTGGTCACTGCTGTTTGTGTCCGGCTCTACAGGGCCAGTGCAGGCCCCCACGGCACACACTGGCACTTTCACCCCCAGGGTCTCCTTCCCCTGCTCCCAGCTGCCCCAGGGAGCCTGGCCGGGGACGGGGCATGAGTCTCTGGGGCTGGGGGGAGGGGTGCAAAGCCACCCTGGCAGCCAACGGCAGACTGGCAGTGCCCCCGGATGGGTGTGAATGTGGGGGCTTTGGGGACCTGTACCTGGCCTTCCTCCCAACCCCTCTTCCACTCCTGCCTCTCCCGCTGGCCTCTGCCTCCACCTCCCTCCAGCTCCTGAGGACCGAGGGCAGCTAGCGGGATGACAGCCAGCTCCCCTCCCACAGACTCTTGGTCTCCCCAGAGGGCCTCCCGGGGGCCCTGTCATTTCTAGACCCTGTCTCAGGCTAGAACTGGGAGGGGCACCTCCCCCCACCCCCAGAGGGAAGGGAGTGACCCAGCCCCCCACCCAGGGACGTAGTACCCTCTTCAAATCAGTTCTCTTGAAGAATTCGAAGAACTCTCTGGAACATCTAGTTTCTGTTTCCAAGGCCAGCTCAGATAGTGGAGAGGAGGGTCCTGGGTTGCATTTCTCGTGACAGGCACTAGATGTGCCACCTGACAGCACTGTGGCTGTCCTTGACCTTGGTGGCTCTTTATCATGCACTCCCCTGGGCTCTGGGACTTCAGACAATGGGCCACTGTTCCCTCCAGGACATGACCAGGTTTGTGTCTAGAAATACCCCTTCGGGGTGGGGACCAGGTTGGAGCAGCCGGAGGGGTGAATGCTGGGGGGTGGGGTCCGCACAGAGGACGGAAGGCCCTGCCCCTGGAGACAGGCGCCCCTGGAGTCCCTCAGACAAGCCGGGTGGGAGGTGGCTGATGGGGAAGCTACAGTCTGTGTTGGGATTCAAGGGTCTCAGGGCCCTGCAAATGGCTCCAGGCTAGCCCATGAAGCCTAGAAAAGGTGGCCCTCCCTGACCCTCCATTGCCACATGTCCTGTCTTCCCAGGGATGCAGAACACTCTGGGACTCTGGTCTCCCTCTCAGGGCTGGGTGTCAGGTCAGGTCTGCAGTGGTGGGCTTAGCGGTTGACAATTCATGGAGCACCTGTCCATCATCCGGGGTGCGGGGGTCGGGCAGGCCGGCGGGCTGCTGGATGGGGAGAAGGGGCAGGCTCCGTGGTTCCCGCCTGTCATTTCAGCCTTCCCTGCAGAGGCCTGCGACCCCGTGCTGGATTCCTGCCTGCCACCCACACCCATGAGTGACCCCGACATTTCCTCCCCAGCCTTCCTGCGGCCCCGACCCAGCAGGGGACTGAGCACTGTCCAGACGCTGTGTGGGAAGAAGTGGAAATAGAGGCCGGTCAGGGCTGGGTGGGTCCGCACTAGGCCCCCGAAGCAGAGCAGGTCTCACTCCGGCCCTGCGAGCTGGAGGGGGTCACAGGTGACATACACCTTCTCGGCAAGGGGTGCCCTTTGCTTCTGACCAGAGCGGTGGTGGAACCCTGCCAAGGGCCCTGGCCTCGTCCACGGCTTCCTCGGGGCCACGGGAGCCGGATTCTAAGCGGCCAGCCCTTCCCTCCCCTCACGCCGCACTCCATGAGTGTTTGCTGCCCCCACTTCCTGCCTGGGCGGCCACGACAACGATTTCACAAACGATAACCCTGAAAGGATGGTGATGATAGTGGCCGTGCAAACTGACGGAGCGGTGCCACAGGCGACCTCCCACGGGCTCCTCGCGTGCTTCGTGAGAGGCTGGGAGCCACGGACGTCAGGGGAGTTCCTCCAGCCTGGACACACGTCGGCCTGGGCCTGCCCGACCCCCAGAGCTCATGCTCTGGTCCCCGTCCCCCTCCCATCCTGCCTCTCGTGTTCTCCAGCCTGCGGGGACGGGGCCAGGGCCCCTGGCCTGGCTCCTTCTCTTCCCCCAGGCCCCCAGCAGGCACGGATTCGAGCCTGGCCTTGTTCAAACCACAGGGGTGAGCAAGGGGCCATGAACCGTGACTCCCCCCCCCCCACCCCGTGGAATGCGTCTGCTCACACTCTGAGCTGGTCCTGGGAGGCAGCCCAGGGCGGCCTGCTTTCCAGAGGAGGAAGCAGGTTCAGAGGGGCCCCCGCTCGTGGGAGGAAGGTCCGAGCTAGGCGTGCCTGACCCCAAAGCCTGTGCTCGTGGCCACTGCCCAGAGGTCCGCCCCCAGTGCACCGTGCAGAGGCCCCTGGGGCTGGAGGACCCCAGCCCCACCGCACCCTCCCGGGCGGGGCCCTAGAGCGGTGTCCCCGGGGTGGGTCCCCAGCTCCCGCCAAGTCCTACTCCCTCTGCAGGGGCCACAGGATGGGGTGAGGCGGGAGAACGGCCCAGTCCCCACACCTTTCACAACCCGCCCGATGGCGCCATGGAGCAGGAAGGGTTACAAAGAGGCCACAGGAAGCTCTGACGTGGCAGCGGAGGGTGGGTACAGGAGGGCCCCGCAGATCCTGGGACCAGAGGGCGGCTGCGGTCCCCGGGCTCCCGCCGGTGTGGGCAAGGCTGGGCCAGAATGGGGACCCCCAGGGCCCCGGGGGTCCGGGTCCTCCTGCTCCTCCTGCTTCTCCTGCTCCTCCTGCTCCTGGCCTCAGGTGAGTAACGGGTCCCTCATCCCGCCCGCCCCCGGCCAAGCCCGGGAAGCCCAGTAACAGAGACAAGGATGGTGTGGAGCAGGGGTGTCAAACTCATTTTCATCAGGGGCCCACTAGCCCCGCAGTTGCCTTCAAAGGGCCGAATGCAACTTTAGGACTGCGTAAATGTAACTGCTCCTTAACTAGGGGCCAGGAGCCCAGCGCTGCCGCCAGGTAGAAACAAGGTGCCGGGCCGGATTAAACAAGGTGGAGGGCCGGGTTCGGCCCGCAGGCCTTGTGTTTGCCGCGTGTGCTGTAAAGAGTGGGGGTGTCTGCAGCCTACCCTCCGAGGAGCCCACCCCGAAGGTCTGGGCACCTTCTCTAACCTTGTCCTTGAGTTCGATGTTAGACTTTGGCCCTGTTGCTTGCCCACACTGCCCTGGAGAGGGAGGGAGTGTGGAAAGTGCTCCCCACTCCCCCACCTGGGCTGTGTCTCCCTGGCAGGCCTGGCTCAGGGACCCAGGGGGGCTCGGGACAAGCTCTTCCCCCGCTGGCCTCTGAGCTGCTGGGGGAAGGGGCTGGGCCAGGCAGGGTTTGCCGGGCCCTCCTCTGCCCACGCCACCCACCGGCTCCCTCTCCCTGTCCCCACAAGGCCCCCCAGCCTTCAGTCGCCCGCCCAAGCCGGGAACCAGACTCTCTCGCCTGCTTTGCTCTTGGCCTTACACCCATGTGGCTGTTCTCCGGGGGCAGATGGAGGACCCCAGGCCTTGTCCTGACTGTCCTCTAGCGCCCGCCCACCGGGCCAGCTCTCATTTACCCTCTTGCTGCTCTGTCACGTCTGCAGTGATCCCTTGTCGGGGGGGCGCTGCGGGGGGGGCGTGCTCCCTGCTCACTGCTGTCATCTCAGCGCCTCGCCAGCTCCTCAGTCAGTGGCCCGTGTGCCTGTCCCCCGTGCGTCTGTCCACACGGGGCCGTGTGGCTTTGGGAGCACGGACTAACCGCTCTGGGCGTCAAAGAATTCTCTTCTTTTCAAATATTGGGAGACTCAGTGGAGTGCTGAATTTAGCTCCTGGCTAAAAAAAAAAAAAAAAAGGTGAAAAATGACAGCGCTGTCCTTCTGGTGGCTGGGGAGGTGCCAAGCATGGCCGGCAGGCAACACTTGATGGATTAATCACCTTGATAACCAAGGGTGGCCGTCCACGGTCTCTCGGGGCATCCTAAGGACGCTGGGCCCTTCGCAAAAGCTGGAATCTGCTGCCTGGGCCTCCGAGGCCGCCCCGAGTGGCCAGGTGTACCCTGCGGCGATGTGGGTGGTCTGTCTGGTTCAGGCAAAGCGCTGGTCTTGGAATGGTGTGAGGAGCCTTGGGAGGCTTATGTCTAGGGTAAGACTCCTTCCTTCGTGTGTATTTATGGGTTAGTCACCCATTTGCCCATTCATTCATTCATTCATGAAGCTCTGGTGGTGCCCTCTGCGCGGTGCCAGGCTCTGCGCTGGTGCAGCACGTGGTCCCTGCCCTCGATGGGCTCACAGTCTGGCAGTGACGGGGGGGCGGGGGGGAGGGCTTCAGAGGGGCCCAGGCCACGATGGGGACCCAGCAGGAAGCAGACACTCTCTAATAAAGGGGCACTTTACAACGGTGTAAGAAGGGGTCGGGGGACCACAAAGGGGGACACAGGCCAGGGAGGAGGCTGTGCGGGCGGGAGAGAGAAGCAGGCCGCTGGTAGAGAGCCATGGGAGGGGCTGCAGGGGCAGGAGGAGGGGCAAGTACCAGCCTGCCCTCCTGCCTCCAGCCTGCCCCCCATCTGAATCTAGACTGAGGTGGCCCTCCGAGGCCAGCCTCTGGGGCAGAGGGGACTGGACAAGGGTAGGGGTGGTCGGCACCCTCCGCGCACTGGCCTGCGTCAGGGGCTCCCTGTCCGGCCTCCGTGCTTCCCGCGTCTGCCAGAAACCATCGCAAAAACGGTATTTGGTAACCTTCTCAGCACTAGGTGCCTGTCAACAGCTTCCCAGACGTGACAGCACCAGGGTTGACCGCCGGCCAGGAGGGAAGCTGTGTCCACACCCCTTGGCCGATCGCCCCTCCAGCTGCCCCCACCTCCTCCCCTTCCTTTCCCCCGTCCCCTCTTCCTTCTTTCCCTTCTCCTCTCTTTCCCTTCCTCTTTCCTTTAAAAAGCAAGTGTGGATCAAATTATATATATGCTCATCTACCACGTGTTTTTCTCCGTTAAACAATGTCCTGTGAGTATCTTAGCCTGACAGAAATGTAAAGTTCCTTCGTAAGCTACTTAGAGCACATGGATCTCTAGCTGGTCATTATAAGAATCCACTCTAAAATGTTATTTTTCACTGCACATTTACTCTGACTTGGATCTGCCATTCTCTTTACCATATATTTTATTTTTGTCTTTAAAATGAACTCTTTTTTGTTGTTGTTGTGAGAGGAATATCGTGTGGGATTTAAGAGAAAATATCACACACTGGAGAAGGGTATAGAAAACGAAAGGCCCGTGTCCCCCGGCTGCCTCAGCCCGGCACTGCACCCCCCAAAAGTAGCCCCCCAATAGCTCCTGGCCTGCCAGAGGTGAAAAGGTGCAGACTATTAAGACCCCCCTCACCACGGATAACGGATTCGACAAAGCCGTTCACCCAAACAGACATACCAATGGGTGTTCAACCTCCCCCTTAAATGAACACGAAATTCAGGTTCACCCCCAGACTGGCAAAGACTCGAATGTTTGGCAGCGTCTGGGATTCTGAGCGCATGGGCGACAGTCACGCCTGGCCACTGTGGGAGTCAGTGAGAGCTGCCCCCCTTTCGGAATGACATTCAATGATAGCTAGCAGTTCTTAAAAGCACATATTTTGGCACAGAAATTCCGATGACAGGAATGTCTTCTGTGACCAGGGTGTAAGCAACGGTGTCCAACAGCCAGAAGGTTCAGCAACAACTCCAAACGTTCACCAGCAGAGGACCAGTTGAGTAAGCGTTTGAACACCCGTGCAAGGGAAGAGTGTGCAAATGTGTAAGGAAGGCAGTGCGTCGGTCCGTGCTGGTGTCAGAAGCTCTTCAAGGGTCATAGCGGAGGGATTCCCTCCATGTACGTCTGTAAATGATTTTGTACAAACGTGTGCACAGAAAACCTTGGGAAGGTGGTGCAATAAACTGTCACCATTGGTGAACTCCGGAGTGTAACTTGGGACCAGCAGGACTGTTACTTTTCCTTTTGTATCTTTAGACAGAATTTAATTTTTTTAAATTCAGACTCTGTATGTAATACTCCTGCTCAGAAATAGATAAGTATGGAGACGCCTTCATTCACCCAACATAAACACGTAAAGGCACAAATAGTTTTTTGCAAGGAAGTTCTCACCTCCTGGAATAAATACTGCTGGCTCTTTGAGCAGCCGCAGTGAGCTATGTCCTTTACGGCTATGACCTCTGATCATCCCCCAGACTTGCAAGGAACACGTCATTAGCCCCATTGGGCTGGTGGGAAGACCGAGCCTCAGAGAGCTGCAGTAACTCGCCTGAAGTCACACAGCTCGTCAGCAACCCAAAGCTTCCTCGCCACCCCCCGTCCCTGGTGAAAGGGAGCTGACCTGGAAGTCACAAAAGCCGGTGTGTAGTCCTGGAGCCATCTCCAGCTGGCTGGTGACCTTGCTTATGTCACTGTGTTCCTGGGGCCTCAGGCTGCAGTGTTCCCCACCCACCGCAGGAGGTTGTGCGAGGGCTGTCATGGGAACGTGGGAGACCGAGGCAAACCGAGACTGTACGTCCAAGAGTTATACCATGAGGCCCCAGGTGCAAGGGCTTTGGAAATTCTGATGTAAAACAACTGCAAAAAGGCCAGGCAGACTCCTTGGAGGAGGTGGTAAAGGGTGCTACCACTAATGTATCAAACCTTTCATCTGCAGAGCCCCATGCCCAAGCCCTTCATATACTCTTTCTCCAAAGCATCCCACTGGCCCTGCAAGACGGAGAGTAGTATCTCCTTTCACCTTGCACCCGAGGCCCAGGGAAGGTATGAGTCCAGCTCAAGTGCACACAGTTAGGGGGAACGGACCGGAGCTGGAATTCCAGCCCTCACCACCAGACTCTGGAGCCCTGGCCGCCCCTCCCCACCCAGCCCGTTCACACTCTGCCTCCCTCCCTCAGGTGAGGAAAATTCCACAGGCACGCCTGCATCGAACCCCCACCACGAGGACTCAAGGAACACCTGCCAGGGGCTCATCAATAGGGACCGTTATGGAAACTTCTATCTTCAGGACACCGCCAAGTGCTTCACCAAGTGCGAGCAGTCGAGCAACGAATCCTGTGATCTGGGAAATCTGCAGAGGTAACCAAGCCCTCTGAGCTGGAGCAGGAATCTGGGGTTCCTGCCGGGGTGGGGAGGAGGGTGGGGGTGGAGCTGTCAGCCCCCACACCCCCCAGAAACTACTGCTCCCATCTTGGGTTTGCACCACCTGGTTTGATACATTCTCCCCGACCCACCTGGTGAGACCCCTCTGAGCCAGTGGGTGCAGACACAAGTCAGCCCTGTGTCAGCTCGGCACGGGGGGTCACAGAGGGACAGACACAGGCCCAAACGGTGAGAGCTGCAGTCCCACACATCCTTGTCCCACACATCCTTGCCGTGCTGCCAGCCTTTGAGGTGACAGCCACCCAGTGCGTGTAAAGCGAGATCTCACTGTGACATTAACTTGCTTTTCACAACGGACTAATGATGCTGAGCATGCTTTCGTGTGCTTCTTAGCCACTCGTGTCTTTTCTGTGGTAAAATAACCATTCAAATCTTTCCCTCCCTTTTTTTTAAAAAAAATTGGGCTGTCTTCTTCTTATTGCGTTTGAAGAACTTTGTATATATGCAAGTTTTTAAAAGCCAGATGACATGATTTGTGACTATTTTCTCCCAGTGTATGTCTTGTCTTTTATTCTCCTAATGATATCTTTTGAAGATCAGCACATTTAATTTCGATGAAGTTCAATTGAAATTTGTGTGTGTGTGTTTGATAGCATATCAAATCAGAGAAATTTCATCTAGCCCAAGGTTACAAAGAGTTTCTCCCCATTTTTCTTCCACAAGCAAATGGTTTTAGCTCTTACAATTAGGTTATGCATTTGGAATTAGTTCTTTTGTGTGTGTGCACAACGAGAGATAAATGTCTAACTTTCTATTGTCATTACTACTATTTTTGCATCTGGATATCTAATTGTTTGGGCACTATTTGTTGAAAAGACTATGCGTTCTCCATTGAGTTGCTTTTGGGGAGGGCATCACACTGAAGAGCTAGGTGGGAGCTCCTGGAATGTCTCCTCCCAAGATAGTAAGCCAGACACAAAACTACATCCCTGTAGAGATTAATGCCACCAGGGGAGATTTGAAAGGCTCAGAGGTGGTGAGACCTACCCCAATCACGTGACTCACCAGAAGTCAGGTGGGCCTTGGAGAATGACCGTGGACCGTCCTGAACTTAATCACGTGGAAGGTCCAATTGCAGCCACAGTCCCAGGTGAATGTGTTTCTTTGAATAAATCAACACAGCCCCTGGCAGTTGGTATGCAGCGCTCTCATGGCTGATACTTTTTTCTCCATACCCATTGTCCAGGACTACCAGAGCTGTCTACTTTCACTTGGCATGGCCCACAGTATTCTGCCACAGTGTTTCCCTGAGACTGTGTCCACCCTCCCCACTGCTGTATAATACACTTCACAGAGACCTTACTGACCTTGACGTTCTACAAAGCATCACTAGTCTGCTACACTGACAGCATCATGCTGACTTGATGTAGTGAGCAGACAGGGGCAAGGACTTAAGGTGCCTGATGAGGAAGTAGGAGAGCTAGGGGACGGGAGATAACCCCCACGAGAACTCAGGGGCCCCTCACCTCGCTGAACTTCCTGGGCCTTCAGCTGTCTTGAGAATGTCAAGGTATCCCCTCCAGGGTAAAAGACAAGTTGTGGAATGTCATGCTACTTGCCATGAAGGAAAAAACAGGCACCAGGCGGAAAGACAGGTATCAACAAAAGAGGTCGGAGCGTTGGTAGTAACGTCAGACAAGGAAGACGATGCCGAAATGGGTGTCAGTGTTGTAATGAAAAAGCCCTCGGTATACCTATGCTTCTGACTTTTTAAATATGTTATATCTCGCAGCTAAAATAAGTTTTGAAAGTGCCTTGAAAACCAGATGAGAATATCTTTCTTTGAGAAAGTAAATTGGGTTGTTTTATGAGCCCCCCCAAAATTAAGTGCATGAAGATATATATATATTATAATATATATTATATATAATAATATAATATATAATATATATTATATTATATTATTATATTATATTATACTATATTATTATGTTATATTATATTATATATATAATATATATAGTGAAATACAATTCACTATTTTACTTGGTAACAATGACAGTCACAATACTTGTTTGTTTAGATTTTTCAAAGGTACATACATAAAAGCTAGACACAATCGAAGTAGCTCAGTCAACGGATTTGGGCGAACTCCCCCCACTGTTTCTGGCTTGATGGTGTTATCATTGCCTGCTCTACCCAAGTACATTTGTACATATTTGCATGGCTTACTCTCTATATGGTGCAATATGTTTTTCCTGTGGTTTCTTTGGGGGTTTTTTCCCTTGATAACTGAGCGTTCAAAATGATATCAAAATAAAAGCCTCCCTTTGTCTCCCTGGCAAGCCCTCCACCGCTATTTCTTTCTGACAGCCTTGATCTGGCTGTCTCTGCTTCCCTCCCCCGATTCCCTCTCATTGCTATCTCAGCCCTCCCCGCACTGGGCAGCAGATCTGAAGGACCCCAGGTTTAGGTCAAGAAACCTGGCCGGCAGTTAGGTTTCAGTACCACGGAGAGCGCTATGAGCGCGCCTCGCCCCGACGCGGTAGCTGAGGCAAGGGAGCTGCGGTAAAATAAATGCCAATTAACTTTTGTGCGCTGTGTGGTTTCCACAACAGCTCCGTTCCCCTAAGTCAGCTTCCCTGCATCTCAGTCGCTCAAGACTGAATTCCCAGTATGCAGTTAGCACTCAAGCAACGCGATGACACACTCCCTCGCCCGACACAATCATCCCACAGTTTAAAACACTCGGAAGGGTTTCTCCCCAAGACATACAAAGACCAACAAGCACATAAAAATCTGCTCGACCTCATTACACATTAGGGAAGCACACATTAAAACCACAGTGAGATACCACTTTATACCCATTAGGATGGCACCAATTAAAAACATAATGAAAAATAATTGTTGGCAAGTATACGGAGAAACCGAAACAGACGTCGCTGGCAGGAAAGTAAAATGGTGCAGCTGCTGTGGAGAACAGCTTCAGAATTCCTCAAGAAGTTAAACACAGAATTACCATACGGCCCAGCGACTTCCCTCCTAGGCATATACCCAGAAGACTCTGACACAAGGTTTCAGAGCAAAGCTTGTATGTACGTGATTGTTTATAGCAGCTCTGCTCACAGCAGCCCAAACCTGGCAATAACCCAAATGTCCATGGGTGGATCAATGGGCAAACAAAATGTGTTACATCCATACAATGGAATATTATTCATCCATAAAAGGGAATGAAATACTTTTGCATGCTACAACATAGATGAGCTTTGAAAACATTGTGCTAAGTAAAAGAAGCCAGGCAGGAAAAAAAAAACAGATACAATTTATAATTTCACATAATTCCATTTGTATGAAATATGCAGAACAGGCAAGCCTATAGAAACAGAAAGCAGATCCGTGGTTGCCAGAGGCTAGGGGAAGAGGGGAGGCAGTGACTGCTTAATAGGCACAAGGGTTTCCTTTGCAGGGGGGTTGGATTGGGCACTTTAAAGTGGTTAAAATGATCCATTTTATGTTATAGGGAGTTGATCACAAAAAGACAAACGCATGAACTACTCAGAGGAAGTTCTGGCTGGAATCCCTTGGGACAAACTTGGACTGGTCCCCTGCCACCCCTCTTCTCCTCGTGACCTCAGGGTCTTTCCTGTGATATTCTGGGTCACCCCCTCCTATCCCAAGGGCCTGATGATCATCTCCCATGATCTCTTACCTCCTGTCACCCAGGCTGGGGCCCAGGTGACTGGGCGACGCAGCCTGCAGAGCCCGACGTGGCTCCTGACCCCCCGCCTCTTGCAGATACTGGCTGGACTACGAGAACTACCTGGTGGAGGGGAGCCTGGAGAAGACAATGAACTTGTCTTTGCCTTTTCTGAAGGCTGTGGTCAAGAACGTCAGCACCAACATCTCAGACGACCTGTACTTCTCTCTGACCCCCTCTCAGGTGAAGAGCTGCCCCCACCACCCCTAACTCTGGCCTGCTTTTCCTGGGCACATTTTTCAGAATTCTCAGAGAGAGAGGCGTGGTCTGCGTTTGGTGCTTATCAAAACGTGTCCCTTTCGGTAGGGCTCTGGAGCCTGGTTAGTAGCGGGTGCCAGAGAGTGCCTGGATGCGTGGGTCCTGGTGGCAGATTATCCAGGTGTCTAGGGTGAGGCATTTGGAAGATCGCTGAAGGGAGCACGAGGAGGCTGAGTTCCGGTGCTCCCAAGCGCGGAAATCCCTGGAGTCTTATCTGTAAAACGAGCTCCGTGGCTCCTTCAGAGCCCAGAGTTGCCGTGAGCTCTTCCACCGGAGGGCACATGTGAAGCAAGTGAAGCCACACTGGTGGTCCTGCAAAGGGCCGAATGGGCAGTCTCTGGATTTACATTTGTCTGGGTTCAAATCCCAGCTCCGCCCCTTACCGGCTAATTGTGACCTTGGGCAAATGACTGAAGTTTTCCTAGTGTCAGTTTCCCGTCTGTAAAGTGGTGGTCGTGTTGCCCAAGTTCAAGATGGTCAGGGGGGCAAATGAGATAAGTCACAGGGCATGCTTGGCACGGCGAGGGGGCAGCCTCCTTCAGGAGTGAAGTGGGGCGTGGAGGGGCCGGCAGCGGGCGGGAGGAGCTTCTGGGTCTGTCTGGAGAAGGGGGGGTGGAGGATGGATAGGGCCCGTCTCAGGCCTTTACCATGTGCTCCAACTGGCTAAGCCCTCTGTACGGGGTGGGCCCTGGCTCCAGAAACCACACGTCCTTTTGACAAGTGTGCAGACTGGGAAGGAGAAAGCCAGAGCCCTCAGCTCCTACCCTTCGCTACCCTGATCCTCTGTCCATGGGCCGGTCCTGGGGAAGCACCAGGTGGGATCGAGCAGGACCCGGTGGGGTCGGCTCCAGGGAACAGTGAGGTCAGAGAACGAACAACACAGGCTTTGCATTTGCCGGTGAAAGGTAATTTAACATTTCTATCATTCTTAGCGTTGGCCTTATTCTTTCCACTTACTCCCGAGTCTGAAGCCAGGCACTATCCCCATAACGCCCTATAGGGTCACAGGGGTGTCAGGACCCTGGCCACATGTGCGCCACACCCGCACTCTCCCGCACACCTGCAAATCGAGCACGTCCGGGTGTCCTCTCTTCACAGCCCACTTGCAGCCTCGCAGGCGGCCCCTCGGGCCCCTGGTTACCTCCATTCCCCATTCTGGGAAAACGGAGGCTCTGTGGGTGCCGGGCCTGGTCTTGGGCTCACGGCCTGGACAGGACGGAGCTTGGGCTGTGCCCCCAGATGGCCTGCCTCTCAGAGCTAAGGTCCTCAGGTGCTGCCCCTCCCCCCGGTGTGCCTCAGTTTCTCTTCCCCGTGGGGGAGTGGCAGCACCCGAGTTGGGGGCTGGAGTCCTCGGGTAAGGAAGGAACCACTGGGTCTGTGGTTACAGATCACGGGGCAGGTCCCGGAGGACAAGCACATGTTCCCCGACAGAGTCCGGCTGCCCAGGAGCCTGTTTGCATCCCTGCAGGGCAGCAGGTCGGAGGTCCGCTTGGCCGTCTCTGTCCTGGACATCGGGTCAGGGAACCTCTTCAAGGTGAGGAGGAACTGGATGGAAGCTAAGGACGGCCCTGAGGCTCACCAGGCCGTGCTTGAACTTGCCGTCCGTGGAGTCTTCCCTGAGGATGGGGACGGCGGAGGGGATGAGTCTCTGGGGATGTTTCCCAAGCAGCCCACACTCATCCCAGACCCCCATCACTAGGGCCTGTGGACTTGGTCGCACACACCTGTGCCCTTGGACTTGTATGTGTATCCCGAGTGGGGCCCTGTCCCCGTGGGTCCCTGTGCGTGCACAGACATGCACATGCTTTCCCCTTCCTGGTGCACATGTAATGCGCGTGAGCAGGTGTACCCACGCCCTTGCCAAGAACCCCACGTGTGTCCCCAGAGACGTGTATCTGCTCACATGCAGACATGTGTGTGCCTGTGTGCTGGTGTGGCCAGGTGCTCACCCCACCCCTGCCCCATGGGCACCCACTGCCCTGTAATTGTGGGCCCTGCACCCTCCAGTTAAGAGGGCAGAGGAGGCCCGGAGGCCAGTGAGGGAGACTGTCGGGTCCGCCCTGGTCCAGGCCGAGCAAAAGACCATAGGGAGCGGCGGGCGGGGTGACCCCTTGACGTCCTGCTCCCCTGGTCTCAGACTTTGCCCTCCAGGCAAGGGCCCCGGGTCCGGGAGGCCCCCAGGAAGCCTCTTCTGCAGCCGGGCCCCCGCCTTTCCCTCCACAGGGCCCCAGGCTCAGCCTGGAGGACGCTGGCAGCGTGCTGAACAACCGCCTGGTGGGCCTGAGCGTGGGCCGCACGCGTGTCACCGGGCTGACGGAGCCTCTGGAGATCACCTTCTCCCACCAGCCGCAGCCTCCCGTGAGTCCCCCCAGCCCCACCCAGGCCTGGCAGTTACTCAGGGGCAGACAGGCGGGAGGGCACCCTGGGGCACGTGAACAGACGTGCACAGGACTCTACACCGCCCACCCTGCACACTCATCCAGGAGAAGCCACTAGGGCCACACACACCCTTGTGCCCAGGGACACACGCCCACCTGTGCATACACGCCCACATGCACCCAGGCCCCTCCCACTCACATGCTCACAGAGGTGTGCACGGGGGGGGGGGGGCCCGGCACGCCCACACATGCACGCCCTCGGCAGCACCCCCCTCCCCCCACAGACAGGCAGCCCTCCCACCCGCTGCCTGTCACCACACCCACGGCCTCACGTGCTGACCAGGGGCCATCACGTGGTGCGGCTGCTGTTCCCCTGTGACCACAGGGTGGGTCTCGCTCTCTACCCAATGCACACGCGTGCTGAGACCAGGGAGCACGCTGCCCTCCCGCCTCCCCTCCGTGTGGCTCTCTCCCCTCTCCCAGCCTGCCCTGTCTGCCCCCTGATTCCCATTCTCTGCTTTCAGAACATGACCCTCACCTGCGTATTCTGGGATGTGACTAAAGGTAGGGCCTGGCGGACCTGCTCTGGGTAGGACAGGTGGGAGGGTATGGGCTCCCTTAGGGGTCAGGGCCCCTCCCCTCTCTCCTCCTCTTCATTCCCTTCCCTTCCCCTCCTCTCTGGTCTCTGCTGCTCCTTTTTTCCTCCCTCCCGTCCCTTACAATCCCCTCTCCCCACCCAGGGTCAACGGGAGACTGGTCTTCCGAGGGCTGCTCCACAGATGTCAGAGCCGAGGGGACTGTCTGCCGCTGTGACCACCTGACCTTCTTTGCCCTGCTGCTGGTAACAGCCCACCCCCACCCCCAATCCCGGCAGCTCTGGAGGTGCCCAGACTCCTGTCCCGGGGAGGACGGTCCCTGGCAGGGGCCAGGGCCTGGCCTCCAACTGATGGGGTCCTCCTTGGGGGAATCGCCCACAGAGGCCAGTCTTGGACAAAGTCACCGTGCAGGCCCTCACAAAAATTTCCCAGGCCGGCTGCGGAGCCTCCATGGTCTTCCTGGCCTTCACCATCATCTTCGCTGCCCTGAGGTGGGTGACACCTCCCTGCTCCCTCCTGTCCTCAGAGGCAGCGGCGGGGCTGGGTCAAAGGCACCCTGGTCGTGCAGAATCGTACTGACAGCCTCTCCAAACCTTAGTTTCCTCATCTGTAACATGCGTTTGGAGGCTGAAATGCATTGGGGCCATTCCCATTACAACGGCAGAAGCTAGACTCAGGTTGGCTTAAACATAATAGGGAAAGTGTGGATTGAGTAACCGGAAAACCCAAGCCATAGCGGGAGCCACGGCTCCGTCCCCAGGGATCGGGGTCCCTCTCCTGCTCATAGCTTTGCGCTCTGCTCTGTCATGTGGGGCGGCTTCTCCCCGCCCAGGGGTCCAGGGGGCCCCAGGCGTGCCTCTTACGTCTTAGCTACGGAGCCAGGTCCTGTCCTACACCGAGTCCCAGAATCAAAGTCTTTAAGGTTTTTTTTTTTTTCCAATTTTGAAATCATTGTAGACTAACAGGAAGTGGTGAAAACAGTACACAGAGTCCCATGCTTTCCCCATCCAGCTTTCCCCCAAGATGACATTTTACGTAACTCCAGGACGATATCAAAACCAGGAAACCGACTCTGGTCCCGGGTCACTGCCTAGAAGACAGGCCTCGTCCAGTTACCGTTTTTCACATGCGTGTGTGTGCATTCTGTGCAGCTTTATCCCATGCACACCAGAGTCGCGTTTTACTGGTCTAACCTGGGCCATGAGCCCCTGCGGGACTGACCGCACAGGTGACTGTGGTCTCGGGACCGACCACCCTGATTGGCCGGGCCAGGTCACGTGCCTGCTCTCGGATCCGAGCTAACGAAGGGCCAGCTCCAGTGACAAGGGGCCGGTAGACAGCCTGGGTTAAGGGGTGTTCAGAGACAGCCTCCCCAGAAGGAAGAGCCGCAGCAGAGATCTGAAGACCAAGTAGGGAACACAACTGAGAGTGGAGGGAAGAGAAAGGGCAAAGCGTGGGAGGCGTGGAGAAACAGGATGCATTCAGGGAATCGCGAGGTGTGCAGCTTGGCTGAAGCGCCGAGGGGAGGGCTGAGGCCGGCAGGGTCTGAGGCGCCGTGAGAGGGCTCCTGGGCCAGGGGTGGGACACAGGAGGCAGGTGGAGAGGCCCAGGGAGGCTGTGGCCTCTCACTGGCCCTTCTGCCCCCAGGTTCTGCCGGAAGAGGTTCGAGTCAGAAGATGCTCTCAAGATCCACGTGGCCCTGAGCATTAGCTTGTTCCTCCTGAACCTAACCTTCTTCATCAATCTGGATCATGGCCCGAAGTTGTCCCTTGTCCCCTGCGGGGCCCTGGGGGCCATCTCCCACTACTTCCTGCTCTGCGTCTTCACCTGGATGGGCCTGGAAGCCTTCCACCTCTACCTGCTCATCATCAGGGTCTTTAACACCTATTTCGGCCACTACTTCCTAAAGCTGAGCCTAGTGGGCTGGGGTAGGTGTCGCCTGGGTGGGCAGAGGGGATGGCTGTCCCTGAAGGGGCAGGGAGAGGAGCAGCCCAGGGGAGAGTGGCGGCTCCGTCTCTCAGACAGGCTCAGGGTCTGCAGGATGGGCAGCTGGAGGGGGGTTTGGAGGAGGCCACGTCACAGGAGCCCCAGCAATGCCATGGCTCCTCCTCCCACCCAGGCCTGCCAGCCCTAATGGTCATCGGCACCGGGAGTGCCAGCAGCTACGGCCGCTACACCATCCGAGACCAGGAGAACAGGTCCACGCTGGAGCTGTGAGTGGCGTCAGGGCCCTGGCTGCACATACCGAGGGAGGTGGGGAGAGGCGGGAGCCCTGGGAGGAGAGACAGAGTAGGGTAAGGTGAAGGACCCTCAGATCCAGCTAGTTCATGGCCCGCAGGAGGAAACCGAGGGCTGGGGGTGGGGGGGAGGAATGCAGGGAGCGAGGGGTCCCGAGAAGCAGGAGAGGGCACGGGACCAGGGGGCAGGATGCCTTGCTCTCGCCTGGCCTTCCACCGGTCCATGTGGCATTTTGGGACACATGTTTTAAAGTGTATCCAACCCTTAACCTGCCGTGCTGGGCTCTCACCTGGATGGCAGCCCCCACCTGCCCCCTTGGCCAGGTGGCCTCGTGCAGGGCATAACCTGCCCAACGTTCCCAGCAGCCCCGGTCCTATTGGCTCTGCCTCTGAGTTGTTCTGAGACACTGGGCAAGCCCGTCCTCCCTCTAGGCCTCAGTCTCCTCATCTGTACACTGGGGGGGGATGAGGTGGGCTGATAGACTTACTCTTTTGTGCCTTTCACCCCTGCAGGGCAGGGGGCAGAGCTGAGCCTCTCCCAGGTGCCTGTCCCAGGCCCAGGGCTCTGTGCTTCAGAGGCGCTGGTGGGGCCTTTGTCCCGTCCCCCAGGCCTCAAAGGGGGGGGGGGTGGTCACAGGGTTCCAGTAGGTAGTAACAAAGTGCATGTGGTGGCATGGGTGGGGCCTGCAGCTGACTGGCAGTCACACACCCACCTAATGGGCAGCGTCCAGGTGTATGGTTTTACGAGAGAAGCAGAAAGAAGTTTACGCCAACGGTCCTACTTTTTAAAGGACGGTCATTCATTCAGCCTTTGCACGACATAATGTGGGGCAAACAAAACATGTGGTTGGGGCCAAGTGGACCCTTTTGCCCCCACTGGTCTGGAGAGACAGCAGGCTGGAGCTGCTTAAGAGCTCCTCCCCTGGGGAGCGGGGGATGGAGGGGTGGAGGCGGGAAAAGGAAGGCGTCTTCCTGGTCCCTGAGGGTCGGCCGGGGAGACTGCCAAGGGCTTGCTGGTCAGCGGGTACCCGGCCCAGTCCCAGGGACCGCCCACCTCCACCAGGTGCTGGTTCAGCAACGAAACTGCTCTCTACATCACCGTCCACGGCTACTTCCTCGTCACCTACCTCTTCAACGCCGTGGTCCTGGGCCTGGTGGCCTGGAAGATCTTCACTCTGCCCGGCGCCACGGCGGGCAAGGAGAAGCGGCAGAAGTGGAAGGGGGTCCTCACCTTGCTGGGCCTCTCCAGCCTGGTGGGCATGACGTGGGGGCTGGCCATCCTCACACCCCTGGGCCTGTCCACCGTCTACATCTTTGCACTGTTCAACTCCTTCCAAGGTGAGGGCGCCGGCCCAGGGGGGAGGCGGGCTGCCTCATCGGCACCAGGGGTGCTGGGAGGCGGGGAGGGAGTGGTTTTCGAGAAACGGGGTTCCACTCGGGCCAGCCCAAATCGAGGGCACTGGTTTTAAACACCCAGGGCTCTCCCAGAAACCCCCAGGGCGGGAAGGCTGGCTGATGTCATGGGAGCTGGCGCCGGGCTCAGGAAAAGCCACCCAGACCGAAGCAGGACTTTCTCCATCTTTCGTCTCTGGAGCCGCACGTGGCCTCTCACCTTCTTCTCTTCGTGGAAATGCCTCCATCCTTCTCTGTCCACTGGCCCGTGCCTACCCATGGCCTCCCCGTGGATGCCCACGGTGGTCGCCTCAACCCGACATGACCTTCCAAGTCTAGTGACTACGGTCTGATTCTGTCTCTTCCACATTCTTAGGAAAATCAAGGGTCCGATGGGGCCATCTTAGTCAGGTGTCCATCTCTGGTCCAACCAGCAGTGACCAGGAGGCCGTGGTCATGTGAAGTGATGGCCACATATCATGGACAGGGTCTCTAAGGCGTTGTGGAGGCTGGAAGGAAGTGATTGGTGGAGGAAATGATTGATACATCTGCTTCCTGCCCCCACAGGGTCCTGCCCCCGATATCCCAGCAAAAGGGCAGGTGGCCCGCGTTCCCTGCGTGCACCCCTCCTGTTTGGCCTGCACACCCCCTTTCACGCACACGGCTCAGAGAAGCCTCACAGCCTGCCCCCCCAGGCTTCGTTCCACAGTCTCGTCTCGTCCAGGGAGCCCCCGTGTCCTGGGCCCAGCAGGTGCACGCCCACAAAAACAGGCCTGGCTCCCAGTGCCTCGTGAAACGGTGCGGCGTCACGGCTGGGAGCTCTGGGGACAGGCAGGCCTGGGTTCAAATCCAGGTTCCACTTGTGACCCCAGCAAGTCCCTCCTCGGCTCCTCGGACCCAGTCATCTGCCCAGTTGGGGTCACCCCACACGAATCTCCCCAGATTTCATGGTTGATAGCTGAGATAATAATGCACGTGGGGAACATAAGAGGCCTTCAGTGTGTGGAAACTGATTTTCCCATAAGTTCTTGAACGTTGACAGTGGGGCTCTGTCTCCTCCGGGCAACTGCCGGCCAGGCTGCCCGGCCCCCTGCCGGCCTCCCGGGCTCAGCCACCGCCTCTCCTCCCTGCAGGCCTCTTCATCTTCTGCTGGATCATCGTGCTCTACGTGCCGCGGCAGAGTGCCGGGACCTCTTCTGGCACTGCCCAAGCTGAGCAGACCCACACCGTGTCCCATGAGTAGGGGGCCGGCCCTGCGCTCTGGACTCAGCTCCGACCCACCTTGTGACCTTGGACAGCTCCCTGCCTCCCTCTGGGCCTCAGTTTCCACATCAGACGAAGTTGGGGGGGGGGAGGTGGGATGAGGACCAGGTAGGACCACGTGACCTCAAAGGTCACATGCAGATTCATCTCTGGTCCAAAAGTCCTCAAATCCAGGATCGCAGGCATCCAAAGTTCCTACAGTCCTTGGGACCCGGCCAGCACAGAGAGACACCCTCACCCTTGCCACTATGCCCCCCACCCCCCTCCTAGCAAAGCAGCCGGTCTCTGCCATCGCCCACCTTCTGGCCTCAGTAAGGGCCTGAGTCCAACCAGAGGCGCTTGTCGTTGGCCCAGCCCCTCAAAGGAGCTCCAGCCTCTCCCTCGTGCCCTCTTGTCACTGTCACTGCCTCCCCCACGCCCCCTCCCTTCCCACCCTCCCGCTGCCTCTAGTGAGAGTCCTCCCCTCAGGCCCCAGGGCGGTTGTGACTGGAGGTTTGTCTGAGGGGTTGGTCCTCCCAGCTTGTCTGCCCTGAGCTCAGTCTGCCTCCCCATATGGGGAGCTGCCAGCCCTCCAGGTGTCCGGGACACTGAATTTCAGAGAATGCCACTTAGTGGGTGGGATGGCTCCTGTTCCCATTCGGACTGCCATGTGGGTGGCTTGAGCTCTGGTCTGCTGTCACGGTGGGCCCGGGGTCCAGGGCTATGTGGACCTGGGGGCCGAGGGGCCGGGGCAGGGGGCAGGGCTGGACCGAGCAGGGAGAGAGAGAGGCCACGTCTCCCTTGGAATCTGAGTGCCCACGGAGCAGGCACTGTGGCGGCCTCACTCCCCCGTTCGGCCCAGCCCTGGCGGGTGTGGGGCCCTGAATAAATATCTGCTGGCCGAATAGGTGGATGTGTGAGTTTGGCACCCGCCCCACGGGGCCCCGGGCCAGGGCAGTGTCTCAGGCCGGACGCCGCCTCCAGCGGCTGGACCTCTGCTGTGTCACACCCCCGTGCCGGTTTCCTCTGTAGGAAATGAAGAGAGACAGAGATCACAGAGATAGAGGAAGAGATGCCGCGATGAGAGATACAGCGAGGGAGGGCCAACAGGCAAGCTGACACAGAGGGAGGGGGCGGAGGGAGGCAGAAGGACGGCAGCCCCCTCCCCAAGCCCGCCCCGACCCAGGGGGCAGCGCACTGGCCTTGGTCCCCCTCCCTGCGCCCACCCTCAGGTTCGTGTTCCCAGCCTAGCCTGTATTTACAAACCATCGGGGGACTCCCGCCCCTGCCCGACCACCCCCTCTCCAATGGGCTTTGGAGAAGGTCAAACACGTCCTACAGATGACAAGTTGTTATTATTAGACCCTCCCCACAGCCCTGCTGCTGGTCTGCCGCCCCCCAGACTCCGCCCCGCCCCCCCGCCCCCCACGGACGGGACCAGCAAGCAGACGAAAGACAGGAAAGCCGCTGCACAGCTGGAAGGGAAACCCCAGGGTGGGGACGTTACTTCGGTTGAGCCACATTGTTAGGTTTTGTGCCTTCTACTCGGTGGCTTTGGAGGCTTATCTTCACAGGCACATGTTTCTCACGCCGAAGGTCTCTGCTTCCTTTCCCCGAAGTCTCAGCGTTGCCAACCCGAGCCCAGGAGGAGCAGAGTCTGCCAGGTCCGGGCCCGAGTCCTCGCTCTGCCACTCAGGGGCTGTGGGACCCAGGGCACGTCACGGCACCTCGCCAAGCCTCAGTTTCCCCATCTGTCAAACTGAGATCAAGTCCTTGCCTCGTCCTGAGAGCGTTAAGGGAGGTGACAGAAGTCAAGTGCCCGGTCACCTGATGTAGCAGGGAGCTAGTTGGAGACCCCCCTTCCCTGGCTTAAACAAACACCAGGGGGAGCCCTTGGGTAAAGCACGACCCTCTGCAACCTGCAGTGACCTAGGAGGGGTGTGAAGGTCAAAGCTCCCTTTCTGATTCCTTTCCGAGCTCTGCTGGGTGGCGCAGCCCTGTGGGGGATGATGAGGCCCGGTGGCCCAGAGAGGCCGAGCGACCTGACCTGCACGAGGCTGGTCTGCAAGCTGGGGCGACGCTAGGGCTGGGGCGTCCCAGGGTTGCTGACCCCTCCTCCCGCAGCATTCCCTGGGTTCGAGGATTATCACCCCGCCACCGACCCCCTGAGCCCCTGGGCCGTGGTCTCCCAGACACGCGCAGAGGGAATCCCAAGCCCAGGTGAGCCGGGTTTCCTGATGCAGAGGGAGAAGGTGTGGGGAGCGATGGCTCTGCCGCCCAGGGCCAGGCAGGGGCAGGGGTGGCCCCTTGTTGCCGGGGGTCACTGCAAAAGCAGCTCCAAGTGCCATGTGGAACGCGTGCTGAGGCCAGGCAGGGCCATGGTAAAAGTGCACCCGAAGGCCCAGCACGAATGAGCAGGGGTCCCCGGTCGCTGGACCATCACCATAGCAACCCAGGAGGCAGGCAGCCTGCCTGGTCCAAATTCTACCCCTGCGCCTGCCTTGGACCAGTTCCCCACCCACCCACTGGACCCGTGAAGGTGAGGTGGTGGTGGCTGCCCCACAGGGCGGACGACGGAGTAAAGGAGGCCCGGCCGAGAGGGCGGCCCAGCGCCCGGGTCACCGGGTCCGGCGGGAATGCGGCTGACCCCAGCTTTTCCCTGGTCATCACCTTCACCTTGCCAAGCTGCGGTGGGCATCAGTGTGCTGCAGGGTGGGTCCCCCCCACCCCCACCCCCACCCCCACCCCCACCATGGCCCCCCGGTTCTTTCTGTTGTACCCCAATTTCTTCACACCTAGTACTTTTTACTACAATGTAACACATACACAGGAAATGAGGAGGCCTCCCTGCTCTGAGCTCTCCGATGGATAACAATATCAAAAGATTTAAATTCTCCACCAATTAATCAAGGAATACAATGAGATTTGAATGAACATTCCAAATGATTCTTTAAGACTTTCCAAAAATTTTTCTAATATTTATATGGAGGCATGTAGGCCTCAAATAGCTAAGTCAACCGTAATGAGAAAGGGCACAGAAGGGTGACTTGAACGACAGATCCTTTAAGAGGTTGTTACAAGACCATACTGATAACGCCAACATGGGGTCTGTGCAAGGATAGGCATGCAGACCAAGGGAACAGACTAGAGAGCTCAGCGGCAGACTCATGTACACCTGGGAGACCTAGTACACGGCAAGAGTGGGCATCACCAAGAAGGACGTATGGTCTGAGGGTGGTGTCGGAAAACTATTTCCAATGCAGTTTACCCCTGACCCTGCACAGAGCCACACTGTGACTTTTGTGGGTCCCTTTGTCCAAAAACAAAACAGCAAAAACTGTGTTTTGCAACTACATGAGGACAAAGATGAATATAATCCAGTGTGGGCTCATAATTGTGTATTCACTGGCAGTATATTCATTTTTTTCTTCTGAAGTTAAAAGTTATTAAAATGAAACACTTCATGGGCCGCTAACATAATGGAGAAATTTCCAGTGTCCTGAATCGGAGGCCCTGTCTGGATTAGAACCCGGGACTCAGGCAGCCTGGTTCGGCAGTCTGCCATGACGGGCCACCACTCCATGCCCCACACTGGTTCCCGTCTGTCCTGATGAAGGCCGCTTTGACTGTGTCTGGGTCACAGGCAGTGGTGTCCTGGGACATGTTTAACAACTAGCCAGCTTTGCAACAGTTGATTGTCACGCTTTTAGGAAGCTTGGTGAGCCAGCTGACAAGCACAGCCATTGTTAAAAATTAAATTATAGAAATACAGCCCAGGTCTTCTGGGCCCAGACATGGGTGGTAGTGGAAGACTACATTTCCCAGAAGCCTCCCCTCCCAGGACAGGCCCTCAGCTTCCGAAAGCTGTTACTATGGAGACAGACTAACAGATTATACAGGCTATCCCCAGAGGGGTGAGCGGAGGGTTAGGGGATGGGGGAGGGCTGGAGCCTGCCTGGCAGGGAGAGGGTGCTGGTGGTAAGGGGGCGTCTTCTGCCTTGGGGGCTTTCAGCCCTGCCCTTTCTGGGGAAGTTTTCACTGGGTGTTCGTGTGTGTGTTGAGGAGGAAGAGGTTGCTTCTGGGTAGGAGGGTGCAGAAAATGGCTTGTGGGGGTGGGGAAGGCCTTTGGGCCTCGTTCAGGAAACTTCCAGACCAGACTGCCCTCCTCAAACTGCACTACAGCTGCCGAGGCAGCCCAATGTGGGGAAGGAAGTATCGCAGGTTCTGGTCCAGCTCTGCCTCTGAGGACAGGCTTCTGTGGCCTTGGGCTCAGGGCCATCTTGGTGCCAGCCCCAGGGTAAGGCGCCTGCTGCCCACTGACGCCCTGGCCCTCTCCCCGCCCTCCTTCTCTCTTTACTCTCCATCCCCACCCCTCACATCCTTCTGAGACATCCCATCTCACGAGGCCCTTAAGTGCATGGGGTTCAGAAATAGTCGGGTGCAAACCCCAGGCCTGCTACTTACTAGCTCTGTGACCTTAGGCAGTGAGTGCACTTAACCTCTTTAGGCCTCAGTGTTTCCAACTGCAAAGTGGGTTTCCTAATAGCATCTGCCTCCCAGTCGTTGGAGGAGAAATGAGAGGATGTCTGTAACCCCTTAGCTAGCACAGCGCCTGGGACACGGTGGGAGCTCAGTAAACCGGAAGTGCCTGAACGGCTAACACTGCCCTCTCTGAGCTCAGCGTCTCTGCACCCAGGCAGCAGACAGGTGGGTCTGATCGCCGGGCTGCGTTGCTTGGCTGGTGGGCACAGTGGGAGGCTCACCTGCAGGGAACCAGGGTCTGGAACAAGCCTGCTGCTGGACACGGGGCCTCGGCTGTGGTGCCAAACCCCTGGGACTCGGCCGCACTGACCTTCGGAAAATTGACACGTGTGCTCAGCCCCTCCTGAGTCCTACCGAACGTCAGAATTGGACGGAAAACATCTGTCTCTCCTTCCGTATTACAGAGGGGAAACTGAGGCCCAGAAAGGCACAGGGAGGGGCGGAGACCAGTTTTTGCCCTAGCCAGGCTGGCGGTCAGTGATGTGCCTCCCCCAGAGGCCCAGGCGGCCCAGGCAGGGACTGGATCGGAGGGGCGGGGCCCGGCCTTTGCCTCCAGGTCCCCGTTGCCCTCTTGGACTTGGTCACCCCAGGGAGCGTTAACAAACCTGGGGAGGCCCCGTGCTTTTCTCCCCAGTTCCTCCCCACCACCTCCGCACCACCACATCCTACGCCTTGGGTCAGTTTTCCTTCCCTTTGGACCTTTGCCCTGTTTGTCGTTTAAAAAAAAAAAAAGAAGGTATTTGAGGTGGGGCCATGGGGACTTGAGCTGGGAGGCAGGAGGCTGGTGGAGCAGCTGAGACAGACGGTGTAACAGGAACCTGCTTAAACAAGCAGGGGCTGGGTTTCCTCGGACGGACGCCGGGAAGTCTGAAGGTGGTACTCAAGGCCTCCCCGTTTCCTTGCCCTGCCGTCCTTAGCAGGCAGCTTTGGTCCCCACGAGTGGTTACCCCGTGGTCATGCACTGGCGGCCCCAGCTCCTGCTTTATGCCCCCCTGTCCCAGCCAGGAAGGGGAGAAAGGCGAAGTGTCCGTGCCAGCTGGGCTCATCGCTTTAACGTGGGACAACTGAGACTGACATCTCAGCAGCCAAAACGGGGTTCGAATCACAGGGCTAACTCTAGCTGCAAGGGAGGCTGGGAAGCTGAGTGTTTCAAACCAGGCACATGGCTGCCCCCAATGCAATGGGATTCTTTTTATGGGAGCCTGGAGCTCTGGGTAGGCGAGTAGCAGTCCACCTCAGGGGGGCTTGGCTCTGTGACCACGGCAAGGGTTTCCCAGGGCGCCTGAGCACATACAGCACCTCGGTGAGGCTCCCGATGACCTCATCCTGAGGGACGACGTGGGGCTTGGCCAGGAGAATGTGCACACACCTGCCCCTCGTCCAGGGGCCTCGGTGGCAGCCCTGCTTTCACCCCCTCTGTGCCTCAGTTCCAATTATGGTGATGTTACTTTTTTGGAGGTCATATTCCATATCACCACCTTGCTATTATGAATAATTTTCTTTTACTCAATTCACTTATTGGGGTTGATGAACATACTTAAATAGGAAACTTTATAATACTGCAGTAATCTCTGCAGCATTAGTATCATTTGCCATAAAGAGAAGATACGGTCTGAATAAATAGACGAGAAGGCAAGCAATGCCTGTAAGTTTGGGCCACCCTCCCCCGCCCTGACGTTGGTTCTCAGCCTGTGGCCTGCTTGTCTGCGTGTTACAGGGAGATCGGTGAGTGCTAGAAAGGTGTTACTTACAGACGTGTCAGCACCAAGCAGAGACTCTTTC